AAGTTTGAGAGCCAGAGGATGTGGAGAAAAATCTCCAAAAAAAGAGGGTTGGGAAAGGAAATTCCTGCATATGAACTGAGCTTCAAGCAGTAAAATGTGGAGACACAGCTAAAAAAAACAGTGAAGCAAAGGCTTTGGGGTGGGGTGGTGGAGTAAACCACTGCCCAGTCCCAGACCTTCCCCAAGAGGCAGAGAGACGCGGCCCTGAACAGCACAGCGAAAGCTTTGGAAACTGCATGGCTGTGAGTGGGAGCCACCATTCCCGGAAGGCAGTGAGATCTTAAAATCAGAATTTAAACAGATGGATGCTCTACTAAGTAGAAACAATGAGAAAAAAACCAACAGTCAAAAAGCTGTTTCTCCAGAGGATTTGAAAGGGATCCAGGTCCCACAAAATAGTACTGCAGGGGCTGGGGATTTAGCTCAGCGGCATAAGCGCCTGCCTTGCAAGCGCATAGTCGTGGGTTCGATTCCTGGTACCGATTAAAAAAAAAAGGTAGCACTGCAAAAGTCCAAAATCACTTGCCATGCTCGAAGCCGGGAAACTCTAGACTAATTTTCAAGGGAAAGGATGACGGATGGATTCTGAGCCTCAGATGGTCCACATATTGGACTTATCAAAGACATGTTGGAATTATCAAAGACCTCAGGGTGGCTATTCTAACCAGGGCCTGTGAGATCAAGGTGTGCATATTTGAAACGACTGAAAAGTTAGAAATTCTTAGTAGAGAAATAGAAGTTATGAAAAAAAAAAAAAAAAACAGTTGAAAATTACATAATTGAAACATAGTATACCAGAAATGTTTCCTTAAAGATGATGGAATAAATTTAATACAAAATAGGATGGGCAGAGAACGGTCCTTAAATTTGAGGACTGATCAGGGGGAAATCTGTAATCTGAAGACCAGAGGCAAAGGATTTCAAAAAGTGGGCAGAGCCTCAGAGACCTGTGTGGTCATAAGGAAAGACCTGACATTTGTTATTGAAATTCTTGAATAGGAAGAATAAGACAAAGGCGTGGAGAAAATATTTTGAAGCTAATGGCTGAAAAATCTCCCAAATGTAGTGGAAAAAAAAATACAGATTCTAGAAGTTTGGTGAGCCCTAAACAAGATAAGGCTAAGAAAACATGCCCAGACCTAACTGAATCAAATTTGTTTTCATTTTGAATTTTGAGATGGGGTCTAATTAAGTTACAAGGTGGCCTCAAATGCACAATCCTCCTGCCCCAGTCTCTCAATTAGTTGCAATTATTGAAATACATTACTGCACTTGCCTGGTATCAAACTTTTGACAAAGAAAGGTGAAGAGCAATCTTTAAGGTAGTGAGAGAAAAAAAATAATAATACATGTTACACACAAAACAAGTAACTGCAGATATGTTATTAGAAACCGTAGAAGCTAGAGAACATCAGAGCACGCTTTTTAAAAGAAAGTAGCTGTCACCTCAGAATCCTGTATTTAGGAGAAATATCCTTCACGACAGACAACAAAGAAAGATGTCCTTTGAAAAACTCAGAGAATCATAAGTCACAGATATCCTTTAAAGAAAGGCTAGCATAAGTTTTTTTTTCTGACTGAAGGAGGCACATTAAAGGAAAGGAGAAACAGAAGAAGATACAAGAAAGAAGCTTAAGCAAAAATGTAAATGGGCAGACATAAGTCAAGCTATATCACTTATTACATTAAACATGAAAGGTCTAGACACAGACCTTAAAACACAGAGACCATCACAAAAACAATGCTGCCTGTGAGAAGCCTGTTAAATAGCTATAGACCTACAACTCTGGAAAATATCCAGAGGTATGCTGACCAGATCTTTGTCATCCAATATTTATCAAAAGTACAGTTTTCAAAAAGTAATTTTATTGTGACTTTCTTGATGGTTTTACTTTTCTTTTGTAGCTATTCCTAAAAGATCTTTAGACCAAGTGAAGTCATTGAGGATCATGTCCTTATGAGGACATCAGGGAGAAATTCCTTGTAATCCCTGAAACTTCTCTTAATAAATTTCTTGTTTTCTCATTGACATCATGCTTGTTTAACTCATCAGGGTTCCCCTTTTCCATTGGCTGCTAGGGAGCTCTCCACACATCTCTCTATGATGTTATAAGCAATCCTATCATCCCTAGGACCAAATAAGTTTGTGAGACACAGGACTAAGGAACTCTAAGATGGTCTCTTTTTTCTGTGATCCCTAACCCTTACAACCACTCTGGAAGCTGGTGTCAGTTTTATAAATGAGGAGGAAATCAAGCTCTCAGAGAAGTTTCAACCACTTGCACAAGAGTCTCCGTGGTGGCTTCAGGATTGGGTGATAAGCACCACCCAAGCCTAGATTGGCCAATCCTAGTCAGCCTACAAACCCATGAATGTGAAAATTGGTGCTTATGACTCCCTTGGTGCTCTGCTTCCCCTTTGGGGCGGCAGCCTAGGATGAGGGACAGGCCCTTGGGACCGTGTGGGTCTGGGTTTGAAGCTCTAACTCCTTCCATTTCTAGCTAGGGGACTTGAAGACAGTCCCACGTCTCCCTGGGTCCATTTCTTCATTGGCATAGTGGGACTGGTGGTGCCTGCCTCATCGGTACACTGGGAGAGGTTGCAGACATCACAGAGACACAGCTTCTCCTGGTGTGTAAAGATCAGCATCTTTGACTGTGGAACTCGTGCTCTCCGGGTCTCTTCCAGGGTTGCGTGTGGCTGGTGTCCCACATTCCCCACTGCCCTTGAAGTCCAATGAGGCCACGTGACTTGTGGCCATTAGGTATGACCACAGTGTCCTGGGGTTGATGGAAGAAGAGCCAGGATGCAATTCACCGAGCAGATGCCAGCACCACTGGACACTCCAGCCTCCAGAGCCCCGAGCCAAATAAATTTCCTTTCTTTGTAAATGATTCAGTCTTGGGTGTTTTGTTATATCAACAGAAATCAGACTAAGATAACAGGTAGCTGACCAAGTACAAACAAGAACAAAACAAGCCTGCCATCTCCAAGTCACCCAGGGCTGAGGCTGTTGGTTATTATGTTCTGCCCTAGTACAGTGAAAGGAACTGTGTTTGCATTTGAAAGCGGGCCAGTGGCAGGGATGTGTCTTGCCTACACAGAGGGCTCCTGGGACAAGGGTGGGCTTGGTCTGAGGGAGCACATTTTGAGCTTTCAGGGGAGACAGCAGTGGTGACTCAGGGTGCAGCTCTGCTTTCGGGAGGACTGGGCATCCCAGGCTCAGCTCTGCAGCAGGTGGGCTTGGACTCAGTGCCCCTGGCCTGTGTGACCCTCTCACCTCAGTGGCCCCACCCATCACCTGCCTAAGGTGATAGATAGATCCCTTTCCTTACTAGTGAATTTTGCCCAGGAAAAGATGGACTGGAAACTCACCGGAAGCAAAGCAGGACTAGGCTAAGTGGGAAGAGAGACTGCTGTGTTACACGGCATTATTGTGACAGCAGTGACTGGTATGTGTTTCTATCCAACGTTTATGTCCCTTTTCCTTATACACAGAAATCTGATTTTATTCCAGGCAGTGGTGTGCCTGTGCAGAGGACAACAGCTCTCAGTTTTCCTTGGGATGTATGTGATGTTTTTTTCTGCAGGGAGCGAGTTGGGGAGCCCTCTGAGGGTCCCTGAGAGCAGAGGCTATGCCTGGGACCCACCTCCGTGGTGTCTATGCTGACACTCTGGGTTGCTTTCTCAGCACTGCTTTGCACCAAGCTGGCCTTTGGCTTAGCTGATCACCATGACAACCTGGAAGATCCGTAGAGACCCTCTAGCCTGGTCTCTAAAAACATGGAAATTGGGTCTAAGAGAGGAAGCAAATTGTCTCAGGACACATAGTGAGCCAGCTGCTGGGCTGAGGAGAGAACTCGATTAGTTCTAAGCTGTCCCCGTATCTTCCCGGCCTGACTGAGTGACAGATTGCCAGGGCAGGGAGGAGAGAGTGAGGAATGGACTGGGTTCGCCTTCTTGCAGGGCTGGTAGGGTTCATGGGCAAGGGGGACCATAGGCAGCTCGCAGCTGATCCCAGAGCCTGGGGAGACCCACCCCCCTTCCAGGCCATGCCCTAGACGACTTTGACTGGATTGAGGGGACTCAAGACAGCATCTTTCTGGTGTGATTTCTCCCCATTCCTGCCCTCCCTGTTCAGAAGATCATCCGAGGAAGCCAGCACCCTGTAATGACATAGGGACCCCAGTTTAGGGCCAGGGAGCACGAGTGGAGAGGACACTACCGGTCCCTGCCTAGGTCTCCTTTCCTGGGCCAGTGCTCCTGTCCTCACACCAAAGTGCAACTTTGTGGCTAAGGGCTCCCGGCCGTGCCTTTCCCCAGGGAACTCCCTCAGGCCACACGGACATTTCGCTTGGAGATGCTGGAGAGATGTAACCTCTGCCCACATCCAAGGGACAGGTGGCAGCCAATTCTGACAGATACAGCACAAAAAGCCAGTCCCACGCTCACAGTGGGGCAACGCACACTCCAGAGTTCCACCAGGCTGAGCTGGACTCTGGTGAAAGCCACCTTTGCTTTGCTCCTTCCCTGTCCCACTGGGCTGCCTTTACTCCTTTCTAGATTTCTCTTGAGAGTTTCCCACGACTGATGCACCTGCCCGAGAACCCCACCTCCCGTCAGTCTTTGCATCTAAAGCAACATACATTTCTTAGCTCTCCTTCATCCTCCCAACCCCATGTGCTGGGAGAAAGCTACAGAGGGTCCCAAACTTGGTGGCAGAAATTGGTTCTGGTCAAGAGGACTGAGGGGTCCCTTTGGTCTGGGGCAGTGTGTTGTTCCCATGAGTTCCGGGCTTCCTCTGATCCCTGAGTCCACTGATCAGGCATTAATCAGGCATCAACTACATGGCCAGCAACTGCCTGAGACCCTGGGGACACAGTCAGGGGCAAGGGAGATGGGGTTCCTACCCTGACCCTCTCAATTAAATTAAAACTCTTCCCGCGACACCCCTCAGCCCCAGCCACACCATCGCGATTGAGTACACAGAACCTTCCAAATGCTTTTAATTTCTTTTAATGTGTAACAGTTATGCCTGAGTTACAGAGGCAGTGCTTACAAGCAGCAGGTAGTTAAAGCAAATACCAGTTTCTCTTTCTAGTCTACTACTCCATATAGCTGAATAAATTATGGCATGATTATACTTAAACACACACCCACACGTGCACACCCCACTCACACCCTCACACACACACACACACACACACACACACACTCACTTCCGGTGCAGGAAGATGGCTGTTGAGTCAAACCCGGAAGAAGGAATGATCTAGAACACTATGTGAATATATTTCCAGGTCGGGGCAGGGTGGGGATGGATTGGCCACGTCCGAGTGGACAGAAGAAGCATTCAACACACAGATATCTTGAAGCATTTCAAGATGGTGGCTGGAATATGCCCATTTGGTCTTGGTTTGGTTCTTCTGCAGGAGGGGAGGTAAGAAGACCTGTGGACCCCAAAAACATCCAATAAGGAGACACGCACATTCAGGAGCTGGGTGAGAACATCAGGCTTGAGAGAGGATCCAGAGCAGGTTTTTTTGGTGGCGATCATGGAGTTTCTCCCTAAGGTCCTGGGTCCACATCTCACCAGCTCCATCCAGGCCAACACTGGGCGCTGGCGGAGGCCTCAAGGTCAGGGTCTGTCCTGTTCTCCGGCCACAGTCAGGGCGGCACTCAGACCCTTTTATCTTTAAAGTCTTCTGGAAAAGCCTCCTTCACTTTTCTCTCCTTGGTTTCCTCTACTCTTTGACGTTCCTCTGGCAAACGAACAGCGAGTACAAAATCAAGTACAAAAGGAAAGGAGGAGAGCACAGCTCGGTTGTTACACAGCACTGTTTCTGCTTCATGGCAAGAGGGACACCAAACGAAAGAACAAAGCAACAGAAATCGAAAGACTCCAGTAGGGCTTGGAATGTATAATCTGAAACACACAATATGCAGATATGTCCCTACAGATGGTCCCTGGCACTTTCACGACACACACTGTGGGGTTCTTTCCTTTTTTAGTATATATATTTATATATAAAAAGTCAACTTCCTATAAACAAAAAGCACATCACCACATCTCCAACTAATATACAATGAGCTCAAAAGAGGGGGCCCCCGCTGGAAGGACCAGTAGCTACTTAGGGTAAGTTGAAGAAATCTCTTATGATGCTATGAACTCTATTTACAGGGCTTGGGGAAGGCTGCCGACAAACCCCAAAGAGACCGAGGCCTGTGCCTCTGGTTAGCTAACATCATCTCTCTGGGAAGGTTGTGAGCTTCTAACACAAGGCTGAGTTTTACAGACTGAGTTTGGACAGACACATGAATACAAGAGCTTTTAAGGGAAAAGTCTGGAGGTTGAGGACCCCGGAGAAAATAATCCCATTTCGTATCAAGATGATGGTTTGGAACAGCTTCTGAGATGGCAGATGTAGTGAGAAATCATTTACTTTGTTCCCAAGCAGATCTTAGCTCCACTTCATCAGTAGGGGTGGGGCAGGTCACTGAGATTGGTCCTGGCTTTGGAATGCGACCTCCTGGATGGCCTGCCTGAGATCCCTGCTCCTAACCCTCACGTAGGGAAGAAAGACTCCCAGGCTATCCCGAGCCAGGCCTCCAGGGGAAAGAGTGACTCTTCAAGGAATGTGATGGAGATGTGGTTGGTTTTCTGGAAGAGTTGCCTTTTGGCTGCAACAGCTACAAAAGCGTGGACTAAGTTTCCAAGGAGCAAGATCTTGCCTTCTGTCCAGAGCCTGAAGAAACCACAGTCTCTTGCACTTGGATGCCCTTGATGGGCCGTGTCTGCATTTGTCCCCAGTTATTAACAGGTTTCCCTTAATGATGGACACAAGCCGGCCTGTCCATGGCCTGAGATTGGCTTGATGTGATTGGAAACAGATGAGCATGTGTCACATGGGTGACATCCTTGGAGATGTTCTGAGTATCTTGCCAAGAGGAAGGACCTAGAGTGGCTCCCAAGGCAGAGCCCTTCCCTCTAGGAATGTCTTGCTGGCTGAGGGCCAGGGGCAGGGACCAGGCAAAGAGGAGGCCTCCTGAGCTCAGCAGGAGACAAGCAACTGGGTCCAATGTTTGTGGACCTTACAAGTTCCTGTGGCCAGCAGCGCCTGTAAAGGTGATCCGAGCATCGATGATGGGACGGTGATGGTGGGATGAATACAATCATGAGAAACAGGTGAAGGGGGTGAAGCATTCCATGGGAGGAGGATAAGGGGCTCGAACTGTCCCCCAACAGTCCCAGCTCTCAAGAGAGTGGCGCTTGAGGAAGCCAGTGGCTGGGTAGGGAATTCGACCTCCTGGATGGCCTTTCCAGTCTTCTCTAGAATCTTTGACATCTTCCTCTGTCCAGGGATGGTGGCTTGAACACTGGCCATGTGTACCCCAGCTCAGCCATGCCCATGCAGGAGACGGAGGCCTCTCGGCTAAGTGAGTTGACACTCAAAGATGTCACTCTGGGTGGGACAGGGACACGCTCCCACCGAAATGCCAAGGGGACTCAGTAGTCTTATCTGTGGGTCCAAGAAACCCCCTCCAGAGCTCTGGAGGAAGCTCTCTGCACATCAGCAGCATCAAGGGACTTGAGGGGACACGGCGGTCCCTTCCCAGGGCATGGTGCTTGGTGTCTGTTGGAGGCTTTGTGCAGAATCTAAATCCCAGGGCTGAGGACTGGAGGAGTGAGAGCTGATCTTCTGGCCTCACGGGCTGGCCGCCCACAAGCACACAATGGCCCCTCTGAGCCCATCTTGTGCCTCTTCCTCCTGAAGCCTCAAGACTGCCCCTTCCCATCCCATCTGACCAAGCTAAGAGGGAGACACGAGGGTCTCTGGGTGCCCCAGTCTCTGCATGTGGTGGGCAAGGCTGGGCTTCCCTCTGAGAGGCCAGAGCTGAGTCCTGGAACCCTGGGCCAGCACCCTGCTCACAAGCCCACCCCCACATGCCTGGCAAATTCCTGGGTGGAGCTGTGACTGTCACCCCTGGGAAGACCTTAGGGTCTCCTCTCTGCTGGAGTCCCAGAGTCCAGCAGAGCAAAGGGCTGGGTTCTAGGGCTCAGCCAGGGGCTCACCTTGCAGGCGGCTCTCAGCATCTATTGCTGAGAGCAGCCCCGAGTTTCACCTACGCTCCTAGCCAGCACCCACCCAGGACCTGGGGCTCCTCTCAGCCCTGTTCTCTGGCACTGAGGTGCTCCGCTCAGGGGGAGCCTCTGTCTCCTGAGACGACCCTGGGCCTTCGGCAGGTGTAAGTGGGGAGCACTGCGGGCTGGCTGAGAACCACCAGGGGAAGAGGGGGGCAGACTCTGAGGGGGCCACGCAGGGTCCCTAATCACAGGTGGGTGACAGACTGGCTGTACTTCTCCAGAGGGCTGCCACTGGGAAGCGATGGGCTCCTTCCCTGGCCTCCTGTGACCCCAGGGGGATTAGGGGACTGAGGTGGGGAGGCTCAGGGTCAGGAAAGGTTGGGCTGGGGCTTGGGCTGGGGCAAGTCGCCCCAGGCACCCTAGTAGGCCTGGCCAGTTTCCACAGGCAGGAGGCCCAGCACGGTGGAGTGCTCCCCGAGCTTCATGCGACGCTGTGTGGAGAGGCTCACGTTTTTGGCCAAGTAATCAACAGCAGCTGGAAAAGACAGAGAAAAAGACTCCTGGAAATTGAGGTCCTTTTGGTCTGTTTCTATTTTGCCATGCACCCATCCATGCATACGTCCATCTACCATTCATCTGTCCTTCTGTACACGTACGCATCCTTCTGTGACCTGTTCTCCTAGCCACTCACTGATCCATCTATTCATCTATTCATTTGTGCATCTGTCTCTTCTTCTAGCCCCCATTTGTTTGTCCATCC